GTGAGAACACTAGAAATATAACTACAACAAGAGAGGTGTGGTAGGAGGCCCGCCATTTTGTTTACCTTTTCCACAGTTCAGATAGATTGAGACATAACTCCAACTTTATTTATTTTCAATGACAATCGACCCTAAACTTCACAATAGCAGATCACGTGTATGCAGATTATGGTTAATTTATGAAAAAAAAAAAAAAAATCCAACGCATAATTTTAGTTGAAAAATACTCGATCAATCACGCGGCTTGATTATCTGGTGTCAGTAGTGCGGGGTATTCTAGGCGGGTGTCGACCATTAACAATTAATTCTATGTCTAATTTGAAACGATTGTGGTTACCAAATATTAAGCCATTGAACAGTCAATTTACAGATGGAGGGGCGGTTCGGAGCATAAAATCCGCAAGTCATCATTCTCTGGGCAGACGACATGCGTATTCTTGTCTAAAATGTTTAACCCTAACAATTTTCTTAATTTTCTACGCCAAATCTCCAAGCCTAGTAATGGTTGTTACTACGGATACTAAGACATCTTTCTTATATACATCGCGCCTCTCGTGACGAGAAGACCGATAAAAACACCAGCATCAGCATCTACACAATCAAACACAGCTGTCGATTTGAACAACATTGACTTCACCGTTATACGTTATTTTGACGTCGCAGAAGCATTCCCACATAAGAGGGCGCTACTCATAGAAATTGTGTACCCAAGTAAACTGATATTTCGCTGGTACACCTATTTGTTTACAAGGCGGGTGCTCTAAGTATCTGAGACTGTACTATGACATTTTTGGATGCCATAGAATATAGTTCGAATTCATCTTTTTTTAGACAATAAGGCCAATCCAATAATTCCATTTCTCTGACACAAGTGGACACTAGAAAAGTATAGTTTTTTCTGCACCGCCAATTTTCTAATAGGTCAACCCTTAAATTTGTTCGCCGACCATCTGATATGTACACTGCACTTCATATTCACTTGATATCAAACTGTTACTGTATACATCGCATAAAACACCTACTTGTAAGAAACGTCTTACGATCATCTTCATTGAATAAGCTGTAGATTGGTGTCCATATACTCAGGATTAAATCTTGTTGTAAAAATAAACTGATATTACGCCAAGAGTCCATTTCTGTTGGAGTACACTTTAAGCTGAAACAATGTTTTTGTTCCAGATGCAACAACGGGGTCAAAGTTCAGTCGAATCAACATAGTGTGTTCACATTGTTATCACCGGCGATTAAAACGTTGCGCGCAGTCTGCTTCTAATTACTAGTATATAGTAACACTGTATAACACTGCATGTTGTCATGGATACACTAGTGTTATAAATTATCTCAAAGCAAAGGCTGTTACTTTAGCATGTACAAATATATTATTCTGTTACGATTTGATAATGATGATTGTCTAAAAAAACTTAAGATTATTTGCATCAAACAAGTTCTGCTTCCATGTTCCGTGTGACAGCAAATAATCCCCCAATATACACAAAACTTATTAACGGTAAGTAAAACCAAAAACATACTCATAAACAAACAAAAATAATAATTTCAAATTAAAAAAATATATAAAATGGAAAAAATAGAACCTATACCTACATTGGATTTTGATCAGATTGCTAATCTCCCGTAGTCTTGTGAAAGTTCAATAAAAGATGAAAAACTTAAAAATCAGTGTTGCCTCTATAACTTAATTGATCAATATTAATCACTCCGTGACTGTTTATAATTGTGTGAATACCGACAAGAAAGTAATGCAGGAACAAACGCTTTTACACAAACACGTGCACGTTTTTTTATTTTAGATAGATCAAATTATATATCAATATCATCATTAAAAGTCGATCTCATATCGAGAATGGAATTTCACTATTATTCTTAATTTTAATTACTTCAATCGGTATTTGACCATACGCACACAGAAAATAAATAAACACGAGACTACAAAGTGGCACTATCAGAGCGGTTATTTCGGTGCTAAGTCTAAAGTCATTTGTGAATTATTTAGAATTATTCAGTTGTAAACTCCACCTATCCCTAAATTAAAAATATTAAGTTTGTTTTATCCCACATTGAACTTAGATGTTCCTTTTAGTGGGCATCGAAAGTGAGATAAACAGCCAGCATCCCAGAGATTCATATTAATCCAACCCTCAGCTAGTATAGATAGGTAGTCACCTAACGTGTAGCAAGTTGAGTTTATCGCGGGGTTCATTCATACCGAGTACTGCTGTACATTTTGGGATTACATCATAACATAGGGAGTCCTGTAAACATGACTGATATACTAAAAATGATTGATGTTAGTAATGAAATATCTGTTATATTACTAAAGAAGAAAATTCTGAACTAGTATTTTCTAGATATTCCAGACTGTTGTTATACTAATCGTTAACATTAATAAGAATGTCTCGTAGAATTTATGTCTACTATGTATGTTTATTGTATATGTATGGGATAGGCTATGTCTGGAAGCTATGGTACCATACAAAGAATTGCTTTTCAACCAAACATTATATTTGTGAGTTGAATGTTGGATAGGAGACTACGTACACTTCATTGACACGCAAATCGCCGCGAACCGACCGATCTGACACATACCGCGCGTGGAACTATGGGAAAAGTGGTCGGAACTATTTCCACTTTGTGTCAACACAGGTGGCGCTATTCGGTTGGTTTCCGGCGATCTGCGTGTCAATGCACAATATTGAGAAAAATTAGACCTTTGACCCAATTTACATGCATTTTAATGTTAATAAAATAAGATATTCTGATGAGTGTTGTGTGTTATTTTAATTGATCAACTTAAAGATTAAATCTTGCTAAAAATCAGGGGACAAGAAAAATACTTTTATATAGTTCCGCGGCAGAAACGCTGAGGAAAATTGTAGTGGATGGATATTTAGCCTTCAGAGGCTAGTTATGCGTCATAAGACACAGGTCTGTGCTGAATAGCGCCACCTGTGTTGACACAATGCGTACACTTTAAAAATAGTATTGCAATAATAATAAATAACTTTTGAATAGGGGTTTTGAAAACAACAATCATATATTTGATGTTAAATGTGTGAATTTTATAATATTCAAAAAGCGTTTCTGAGCTCTGTTACAGACATTTTTATATTATCAGTTTTAAATTCAATTGATTTACTTTGTGTTACGTTGGTAAGATATTTCACATAACATCTTTAAAAAATTTTACCATTTTAGCAAAGGGGTCCTGAGCCATTCCCCACCTACAAGTACATCCACACCATTGATCCACTACGGCAAAATGTTGTACACAAAAAAGACAAGACTGTACTTACCTTAGCATTATTGTCTAAGTATTTTAAGGTAGAAGGCTACTTAAAATCCGATTTTTTTGCTCTTCGCAGATGTTAGCGCACATAAAAGTGACACAATTTCATGTCGAAATCTGT